TTGGGTTTCATGTTTCAGTCTCTCTCTAAGGCAGAACCAGAACCAAAATGGAACACTGTGCTTACTCACTCTGCTTGAATGGGGATCCTCTTTTACCTTTCAGTGGGTGGCATAGTTAAGCAATTTAAATAGGGGTCCAGGTACTCAGCACCTCCAGTTAGCCACATAGCCTGTCAGGAAATAGCCACCAGCCTGTACCCACTCTCACCTTCCATCTGTGATAAGGGGTGTGTGTCCTGGTGTGCTTTTTCCTGCTGCTGTCAAAGTGTCAGGACACAATGGATGGCCTGTCTGTACTGTTCTGTCACCTGATGCTGTACACAGGGAATGTGTCATTGCTGCTTTTGAATAAGAAAGCATTGCTCAAGTAATAGGATAAAGCATTTTGGAGAGAGTTTGGTTCTGTGTGGATAGAGAAGAGAATCCTTTAAACGTTTGTGATGAAACTGGCCAGGAAGAATGTCTCAAGGCTTCCAGTTAGATTTGAAGTTTTAGCATGAGCTGAGATGGAAAGAGGTTTTCATAGCAGAGTTCAAAATTCTATTTTAAAATTTGAAACAGTAAAGTGCTCTGGATTATGTTGTCACAGTGTCCAGAGTCAAATCCCTTTTAGCTGGGTGACCTAGAGCAAGTCAAGCTATGTGTGTTTGTCCCGATTTTATTCTCTCTAATATGTCAGTAATAATGTTCTGCCCCAAGGGTAGTTGTAAGAATCACATGAAGTAATTGTAAAGCATCTATCACCAAGTGTTAACTGCTGAGAAACGGGTATTAAGATATATGCAGTTTTATAGTGTAGTAATTAACTACCTTTGTTGTTTTGTGAGGGCATAAACTGTATTACAAGAAGGAAGGGTAATTAAGTGAAATATTAGAAATCCCTCAGGACAGGCTCTTCAGACACAAATGGAAGTGAGACCTGATCAAGCCTTTCGTGATACCGGGGAGTTCAGTGTGTGGAGTCTGATAGTCTAAGTTTCTGTCCATTCATTCCTAGTTAAAAGTGACCTTAATTCTTTGAGTACAGTTTATTGACTAGTGATATGAAGTCTATATGTGTTTTGCTGGGTTGCTGCAGAGCCGAGTAGAATGCTAATGTGTATGAAACAATGGACAGGACCTGGTCCATCACAGACAACTCAAGGGGAGAGAGCGCCCATCACTGTTAGCATTGTCATCATCATCC